TGTGACCTTGAAATTGACCTTTGGCCTACTTTTCACCATGAACTGAACTTTGCGAATTTTGCTTCCCTTTTATCTCCAAAACTGGCAGAGATAGGTCCATAGTTACTATTAAACTTGAATAGGAAGTCATATACTGGCAATTTACTGTGACCTTGAAATTGACCTTTGACCTACCTTACGATGAATTCACTTTGATTGTACCATTGTAAGTTATATATATTTTTTGCATATTTTGAAAATTCTTGTTGATTGCATTTTTACAGCTTGTCAAGCACAAGACTGGTGGCTGTGTCCCTTACTTTGTGTATGTGGGGGTCTATAGAAATGCGCTTGCTCAAGCTGGTGGTACAATATTCGGAGGCGGTATCGCCTCTCTGATCCTCTAGTTACAATGATATTCAAACCTTGGGTTGACGATGTCAGCTACAAAAGCTCGTTTAAAAAATCATTATGTTACACAGACGATAAGAATTAATTCGTCACACTTGTCATTGGTCGATTGTAATTAGTGCGAGTCTTATCTGCAGACCGTTTGGTTTAGCTTTGTTCGCTATGGGCAGCAAACTTCTTCCGCTCACTTTTTTGCCTATTATTGTAATGCAATCCGGGCTTTCAGAAGACCTCCAGCCAAATAACATTGGACTACAATTTGGTCAATTTCAGAATTGCCAAAATTAATCAACAGCTGTCCACTTATATGTAAATATTTTTCTAAATCAGACCAATGTTCGGACAAAAGCGTTTTTTTTTTTTTTTTTTTGTGAAAAAGGCCCCATACAAACGATTTTCCACAGAGAGTTTAAATGGCTACCATTTAAATCCCATTCAAATCCCATGTACGACCCATGACTTCTACAACTTTTCACGACGATGTACATTTTTAACATCTTCTTAAATTGATTGCGAAATAAAACCCGTAGCATATAACTGATTTCTAATGTTGTTTTAGCAAAAAAGTGCTTATGAGACCATTTGACTAATAATTTCAACAATGTGAATGAGTCAATACGGCAGGTCAGTTATCAATCATCAAAAACCTGCGAAGTGAATTAATGAGGCCTGCATCTCATAAATTAGTTATACAAAAATACTGTACTTCATATCTGCGACCAGTTTTAGCCATCTTCATTCAGGCGTTATTCTGTTAATAGGCATCGACCGAAATGACCTTTAATAGATTTGGTAGTATTAAGCATATCTTTGCATGATTTTTTAACATTTCCGTGAAGAGTTCATAATGCTTTTATATTCTGAGAGCACAAATAAAGACACACTATTTGTTAATATTTTTTTTGATTGGTATACCAACAAAATGCATAAAATAACCTTAAATAGATTTGGTAATATGCAGCATATCTATTCATGAATTCTTTTTACCTTTCTACGAAGTATTCACAATGCTCTAATATTTTGAGAGCATGGATAAAGACATATTGTTAGTTTGATAAGTGTTTCTGTGGTAAATTTGCGTTTCCAGCTGTGTACTGACAGCATTCCTTTACTTAAGCATTCTTTTTTTTTTTTTTGGGACTGTTTTTTTTTGGCCCTCTCGCACCGATTTCGACTTGGATTATGTGATAATTGGCGTTTATTGGGCCTGGTATATAAAGCTCACGTATAGTCAATAAAAAACTACCCCTGTGTCCTCGGATGTAACATCATGCCACGCATGATGGATGAAGGCCGAGGGCATGCTCCAGACTAGACTTGGATACAGGGTAGTGGCGCATTTAATGTGGTATTCCACCCACTGCCAGATGTTTGCTTGGACTGTCACTGGAACAGTAGATGATAGAGCTTGTCCAGGTGGAGAGAGAGGATAACTACACCAAGATATGCACGTCGGCATCGCTTACGAAGGGCTCGGGGAACGAACAGCTCAGCAGTACATTGATGAGTTCTTAGGGGCTCATGCCATATCGTTCCTGCAATAGTACCGAAATGTTACCATATTCCAATTGTTGGAAGTTTCAGTGCGTGCCACCGGTATCTCTCCAGGCTAAGGCTTTGAATCAGGCGGATGTCTTTTAGTGGCCAGCATATTCCTTGGAGCTGTGTCCAATTGAATTATGTTTTCTGGGAACATAATGTCAGGCAGGTCGTCCAGAGGAATCTTACCGCAAACAGACACCAGCCCGAGCAAATATACATGTACCAGGAGGCGTGGATCCATATTCCATAAGAGTAATCAGAATATTAGTGCACATTATGCGAGAGATGCACACCCATTGTGTACTATTTGTACAATTCTGACTTTTTCTATTATTTTCCCTGCTTTATACTATAGTGTCAGCGTAGTGTTTCCCAAAAATGACAATACGGAAAGAAACCAATAAGAATTAAATAAGGTAAGTGGAGACTGAATAGATAAAAGGAAATAAATAAACGAGGGGTCATAAGCCTCGGTCACAAACGGAATTTCAGGATCGTACGTCCCCTGCGATTTTTGGGTGTTGCGGGGGCCGCTTTCCTGCTTTCTGTGTACGTGGCACGCACTCACCACTAACGAAGGGAATGCAACGCACGGCGAAAGCAGTGCCCTTTGCGTCAGTTTTGCTTCACTCTTGCCTCACACGTTTGTGGTGACGTATTGACGGCGTACGTCAGTTTTGCTTCCTGTTCTCCTCTCCTTTCTTCTTTCTCGTCCTTTTTTTCTTGCCATTTGGAGGCATATTAGAAACTAAATTGAGCAAAAATTTGAAAATTTTGAAAATTGTTGTACACGTTACACAGTCGACGTTCATTGTAAAGACACGAGCGAACACCAGGCGTGGGGGTGACGCACGTGCGACGCATTCCCAAAGCGCTCTCGACTTTGTTCGTTAGATGTGAGGGCGTGCGCCTTACTCAACACGCAAAGGGCACTTCCTCCTTCATTGCTTGCGACGTGCGTCTTGCACAACGCGCGTCTCTCTTGCTAACTCCGGGCGAAAGCAGCAAGTTACGCTCGCTGTTGGCAGGCTATTCGTAGAATATTTTGGACATGTCCAACATCCTCCGTGCGTGTTTACGGGCTGTCTGCGAACTCGAAGTTGCGTAAAGCCTAGATCCCAACTACGTTTTGGACGCACGGTTTTTTAAGTTCCTTGCGTCCGGCTAGGACGTAGCTAGATCGCACGTAGCGGCTGTTGATCATGTCGAAAAGTTTCTACGTGCTGTTTGCGTCCTCCAAAAGTCGCACGATGGACGTGCTCCTCACGCGCGAACTCCCACGTTTTCCCCATTTTTTTGGCCGTAGACCACACTCAGCAGCCCGTACGTTCGGTTGGGACCTAGGCTTAAGAAGGACCTGCGTGGGACGTGAGATTCTGCACAAAATTTGGACGCAAACAGCCCGTAAGAGTCCGTGCGGCCGGTTTTGACCGAGGCTTTAGGTCAGGACGTTTCCTTAACTCTGATATGTGTTATAGTTTATAATAAATGTATAAATGATTTTATGCACGTTTTAAAAGACAAATTAGAATATACAGTTTGAATTATCATCTTATGATTTTTTGTTGTTAGTGTGTGTGTGTGTGTGTGTTTTTGTAATATCCTTGTACATGCATTTCACGAACATATAGGCCTAATGCTTTCATGCGCTTTGCCTCTGTTTCTTGTAAATAAACTTTGTTTAAAGTAAAAAAATCATCCGATCACGTTACCTATTGGCTACGTCGGTAGAGCATACTTGCCCTGATGTGGACTATTTGCATGTACCAAGTATTTATGTGATGTCCGTACATACCCGTTAGCATTTTACTCACTCCCATACCGACAGCCTGCATACCGAGGACTTTTGAATCCATCCCCATAGTTTCTTTGTAAGTAGGTTTATATCGGTTTTTCCATGAAAAGTTAAGCAAGAGGACAATTTCGATCATCACGAAGAATGTCATACCAAGACGACAAATAGCAGTTTTCCTCGATACCATGATCTCTGTTATTGCTTATGTGGGCCTACCCGACGTGTACCGGTAGATATATCAAGCACAGATTGAATTTCCGTGCTGCTGGTTTTTTAATAATACATAGAATTTTTTAGTTTAGAATGTATGTCTCGATTAAAAAAAACTTTCTCATTTGTCAAATACGAAAAGAGGAATGTATAGTCAGGTGTGTCACTACCGATTAACCAACTACCGTATCCGTAGCATTGTTGAATTACGTAGTTTGTGCTAATTTTATTGGATAGTTTCTTTCAGATTCTCCTAGTATGACTATGACAGAGCTTGGCTCTGCAGAAAATGTCTCCATATTTTGGTAACGCCTGGACAGATTTTGAAATTTTGGTATACAACTGGCACCAACCTTGCTATACGGGCCCCTTCTATTCCTATCTTATTTGAATTGCCGCCCTTTTTATCATTAATTTACTCAGAGAATAGCACATTTTTCACTATAAGTTTTAGGCTTCGTTCACATGCAATGTCTATTTTCTAAATTCTATTTTCTATTTGCGGTATGTCTTATGATCACGGTCTGTGGCCTGAATATCCCGCGGCGTAATTACTGGCAGCGCGAGCCAGTTACTATAAGTTACTATAAGTAACTGGCTCGCGCTGCCAGTAATTACGCGGCGGGATATTCATGGCACAGACCGTGATCATAAGATAGCGCAAATAGAAAATAGAAATTAGAAAATAGACATTGCATGTGAACGAAGCCTTAAACTGTGTCTTCGATCGCCATGATCTAAATAATTCTATTCGTTTGACCTGGGCGAATGAGTTAACATTAATTACCTTTTGTTGAAACGTACACCGATAGGCCTACTACAGTTTTAATGAAGCACATAGAAAACTGGTTACCAGTACGTATTTTCTTTGTTTGTTATGCTCAAGGATAATCAACACACAGCAAACACATTTAACACTAAAAAGGATTTCAGTTATCGAATATGAAGAAAGCACCGTTTAGGTAATAGGGGGATAGGTCTTACCGAATGGTTCCCTTTGGTGTGGCCGCAGAAAGCAATAGGCCTACCTGTTACGAAAAAGTTGCCATGTGCCCACATTTTCACTTTTACCTCAAAACGCAATTTAGCTTAAAAGTGCTTCAATGTTTTGCCCCCAGTGAGTTTTTTTTCTTCGCAACACTATCTGTTGCAATGTTTTACCTCCAATGAGTTAAGAGTCACTAATATTCAATATGCCTATTCCGTAAAGTCACCTAACATTGTTCACCAAACTAAGGGATTTCCATTGGAATAGGCCTAAAGTATTCAACTTGAAACCATACGCGCGTTTGTGCAACGAGTAGGGGAGACCGGGGCTTTGTTAAATAATTACCAGTTAAAGATTGAATTTGTAGGGCCTAAGTCTGTTTGGGAAAAAAATTATTATTCGTTTTTCATTCATTAAAAACCTGCTTTATACCATATTTTGTTTCACTAATAGATATTTTGTTTTCTTACAACTAAACACATATAGGCCTACCTGTAGGCCTACAACGTAACGTAAAAAAACCTCAATAGGCCTATCTGCCTCATTTGAACTACTTATTCATCAATGACTCTCAAATATCAATTTAATAAAATACAAATTCGTAAAAAAGAATTTTACGGCGTTTACATGGGATACAGTACTTACCGCATTTTCGTAGCCTAAGGGGGCCAACTAGCCCCAACCCTGGGGCCAACCGTGAAAAAAAGGCCTAGCCTAAAGGCTTTTTTGGCAGTGTTGGTTAGGCCTATATATAGCGACTTAACTTTGCACTTGATTAAAGAAAATTAGCCTTTTTTCTTTAGATCTACCGTTCTCCCGTTCTTGCAACCACACAAGAAGACCCCCCTGTTTATTTTTGTGGCCGCTGAAGCAAAGCCCATATGTTTGATAAATGCATTGAATCTTTTTTGTGACTTTGAACAGCGTCACTTCGGGGGCACTTCGCTCAAGGTTGTACCAGTTTACAGGTCATTGCTGACTGTCTGGAGTTACTGGAGTTACTTCTTAGGACTTCATGACACAGGGACTCTTTGAAAGGGCTGTTTCACTTGGAGTTTAAAATCAAATTAATATTGTATCGCTCATACTTTTTAGAAACCCCTGATAGAGCCTATCATTTAGGCCTAAATGTATCACGCAAATTACATTTAACCTTAGAGCTCAATAAACTATCATCAAAGGCACTCCAAAAGCTAATATACCTATCGAGAATTTTTTAAATATTGTCAAGCTAGTCTTTTACAGAGTATTGCCCTCGTAATACGTTCCAGTTTGAGTTAAACGTTCTTTAGTTTTAGGAGGCTAGTTATAAACACTTCCGGCGAGACAACGTGCTAGGTGTTCTAAACAGACCAAGGTTGTGGTACAATAATTTCTTTTATCTGTCATCTTGGGCGTTCAGAATTTAAAAAAAAACATGGCAGAATTCGTTCAGCAAAGTATAGAAGAGATGCTCCCGGAGTTAGAGCAAATGGAAAGGGTTAAGTTATTCTCTAAAGCCGAAGCGAAGTAAGTAAAAGTGCCCTAAGGCTAAGCTTAGTCGATGCTGTTGTACGGTACCCCCCCCCCCCCCCCCCCCCCCAC